GGGGGGGGGGGGGGCGCAGGCAGAGGGACGGGGCAGGTGCCTTTCAGCCAGGCACAGGGTACAGGCTCTGCCCTGGGGAAAGGAGAGGGGACGCTGAAGGGGCTTTTTTTTTTTAACTTAAATAAATTGTTTTTAAAATGTATTTAAAAAATGTATTTCTCTGTTTCAGGGAAAGAGAGAGAGAGAGAGAAAACATCAATGATGAGAGAGAATCACGGATCGGCTGCCTCCTGCACGCCCCCCACTGGTGATCGAGCCCACAACTCGGGCCTGTGCCCTGACCGGGAATCAAACTGTGACCTCCTGGTTCTTGGGTCCATGTTCAGTCACTGAGCCACACTGGCCGGGCCGGGAATGTTTGTTTTTAAACCAACTGGTGCAGCCACTTCTGGAAGGATACACACAGTGTGGCCACAGAGGCGCTCTCCGTCCCAGGAGGCCGCAGCCGTCCCCCAGGTGGGAACGGGGACCTGGCCGCATGGCCCTTCATGGGGACGGTCAAGGGTGGCCCTTCCCTTCAGACAGAGCGGCCGGCTTGCCGTCGCTCCCAGTCGGGCTGTTTGGCACCCTCTCCCCCCCTCACTCCTGTGCGAGCCCCTCAGCGCCCCGGACCACAGCCAACGCTGCTGCTGCTTTTAAAAATCTTCTCCTGAGGGTATTTCCCCCATTGATTTTATTTATTTATTTATTTTTAAAATATATTTTATTGACTTTTTACAGAGAGGAAGGGAGAGGGATAGAGAGTTAGAAACATCGATGAGAGAGAAACATCGACCAGCTGCCTCCTGCACACCTCCTACTGGGGATGTGCCCGAAACCAAGGTACATGCCCTCGACCAGAATCCGACGCTCCATCCACTGAGCCAAACTGGCCAGGGCCATTGATTTTTTTTAGAGAGAATGGAGGGGGAGGAGGAGGGGGGAGATTGAGAGGGAGAGAGAAGCATCGATGTGAGAGACACATTGATTGGTTGCCTCCCATCTGCACCCTGTCTGGTTCGATTCCAGGTCAAGGGCATGTACCTGGGTTTCAGGTTTGCTCCCCGATCCTGGTCGGGGTGCCTGCGGAGGCAACCGGTTGATTAACTGTCTCACATCAATGTTTCTCTCTCTCCCCCACTCCCTTCCACTCTCTCTGCAAAGCAATGGAAAAAATATTCTCAGGTGAGAATTAACCAAATAATAATAATAATAATAGCCCTAACCGGTTTGGCTCAATGGATAGAGCATCGGCCTGTGGACTCAAGGGTCCCAGGTTCGATTCCGGTCAAGGGCATGTACCTTGGTTGCGGGCACACTCTGTAAAAAATCAATAAAATATATATATAAAAATAATAATAATAATAAGTAACCAGCAGTGCCGGTAGGAGGGGTGACAATGGTACCTGGTGCAGAACTGAGTTCGCTCCCCTGGTTACCCAGCGTGGCTTCTCCCTGCCCGGGGGTGGGGGGCGGCCTGCACCCAGCAGTCCTGGCAGGCGTGTGGGTGGCACGTGAGACGCTGAGCCGACTAGCACTGGGTCACTGCTTTGGGAACATGGCTGTAGGCTGTAAATTCCAGTCTCAGACAGTTCCGCTTGTAAGAAGGGTTTGTCAGGTCAGCGCAAGAATGTTTGTCTCCCAACTTGTACTTCCCAAGTCCAGAGATGTCTGTGACATCAACACCGTGGACGTTGGGGTGACTCAGCCTCGCCCGGAATGTGCAAAAGTTCCCTCTCAACCCCCGAGCAAGGGGGGCTGGTTCCTGGTGAATTCCTGCCGCTCAAGGGCTGGTTCCATTCTTGAGGCGGAGCTCGCCCCCTCGTGGAGAAGGCCGGCACCTCTGGATTCTAGCCGATGGCGCGCCCACAGGAGGGTGGGAGAGAGCCCCAGGCTTGTTCTTGGGTTATGGCTATTATTGTTTTTTGTCCTGGGTGAGGAAGACAATCCAGTGTGAGGGGTTCGGGGGGAACCCCGCTGAGGAACTGGTGGCAGGGGAGGCAGCCCCATCCTCCGGCCCTTACCCCGACCCCACACCGGCCAGCAGCCGGGCCTCAGCCACAGCCACGCAGCTGCAGAGAGGAACCTGCCCACAGCTCACCAGCTGGCACGCGGCCCCCCCTGCCCTGTTTTCAGGAGAGAACACAGCCCTCGGCCCCGACTGTGGCTGGTGAGACCGTGAGCTGGTCCTTGCGAGCCGCCCAGACTCGTGACCCACACCCAGGGTGTGATAACAAACACACGTCGCTTTCAGCCACTAAACAGCGGCACTTTGTTCCGTCGCAATAGGAACCAGTCGGCAAAGTGGGAAGCAAGACTCTCTTACCTTCCCGCTCCCGAGCCCCCGGGGCGCCTTTTAAAGCGGCAGAACGGCCCGGCCGGCGGGGCTCATTGGCTGAGCGTCGGCCTAGGAACCAGGAGGTCACGTTCGATTCCCGGTCAGGGCACAGGCCCGGATCGTGGGCTTGATCCCCAGTGGGGGGCGTGCAGGAGGCAGCCGATCCATGAGTCTCTCTCATCACTGATGTTTCTCTCTCTCCCTTCCTCTCTGGAATCAATTAAATATATTTAAAAACAAATTAAAAAATAAAGTGGCGGAATGGTCAGCGAGTCAGTCACTCTGCACCTCATAGCTGCTTCCTTCCCTTCCTGCCTCTGGCTCCTGCCTGGCCCACACTGCCGGGACCACAGCCAGGGAGGTGGCGTCCCCAGCGGGAGGGGTGTTTCTGTCGGGGATCCCACCAAAGAGCCCCAAGAATGCGAAGTCGGGCTGGGCTCCAGGGGCCTCAGGGGGTCAGTGATGGGAAATGGACTCACGTCGCCACTGCTTTCCGCCCTCAGACAACAAAAGGTGGGTGCTATGGTCTGAACGTGCCCCAGAATCGACATGGTGAAACCTCCCCCCAGAAGTGATGGCAGCAGGGACGGGCCTTTGGGAGGTGTGAGCTCACACGGGTGGAGCCCTCACCAACGGGGTTAGCGCCCTTATAAATGGGCCCCGCCCCACCCGGTCGGCCACATGAGGACCAGGGAGGAGCTGGCCGTGCATGAGCCGGAGGGGGACCCCCCAGACACCGCACCTCCTCTGCCAGCATCTGACCTGGGACTTCCAGACCCCAGGCCGGGAAGTAACACACCCCTGCTGTTTACATGCTCACACGCCGCCCGTAGCTCAGCCAAGAGCAGACGGAGACGATGGCGCCAGCTCCACCGAGACCGTTGCTCACGGGAAAGCCAGCTGACACCTGGGCAGTCCCTTCAACATCACTTTATTCTCCTTTATGCAGAGCGGTGGGAGAGAAAACACTCCGTAGATTCTTCTGGAAGCTGTCAAGACGCTGGGAAGATGAATGAGAAGCTGACGTAGATCGGGCTGCCCACAGTTTGGATTTGCAAGACCTACAGGACGAAGCAACGTGAAGGCAGTGGGGCTGGAACACTAGCTCTCGGCCCCGCCGAGGGGAGGCCCTTCGCTCTCAACTCTGGCTGCTCATTTGAGTCACCTGGCGAAGGCCTTTAAAATACACTTAAAATGTTTAAGTATATTCCCGGCCGGCGTGGCTCAGGGGTTGAGCATCGACCCATGAACCAGGAGGTCAGGGTTCGATTCCCGGTCAGGGCACAGGCCCGGGTTGCGGGCTCGGTCCTCAGTGTGGGGGGTGCAGGAGGCAGCCGATCCATGAGTCTCTCTCATCATGGATGTTTCTCTCTCTCTTCCTCTCTGAAATCAATACAAATATATTTAAAAAGCAACAACACCATTAGTGATTTGTACCTTAATGGAACTGATTAGAGAGAGAGAGAGAGAGAGAGAGAGAGGAGAAATGACCACTCACTTGGCTCTTGCAGGTCGGCCTGACGAACTGGAACTTCTGCAGGATGGGCTTGGTCCCGAAATCCTGCCACTGGCCGTCCACCCGCACATGCGCCCTGATCTCGTACTTGACCAGGCGCTGGGGCCACAGGCTGACCAGGCCGTGCTCGCAGACCTCGGAGGGGATCCCCACGTCCGCCGGCCTGATTCTCTGAAAGGAGAGCCGCCGCTTCAGGGGGGGCCAACTCTGCGACCCCTGGCTCCTGACCCCTCGGCCTCCTGCGAAGTGCACGGACCAGGCAGGCGTCTCCCAGAATCCCACTTCCTGGGCGCCTGCTGCGGAGTCAGCTGCCGTCTGAGCCCTGACCACGTGCCAACCGCTGGCCGACGGACCGGGGTTCGGCCAACCCGGACTAACCGAGCTCCTCGACCTGGAAGGTCTTCATGGCGCTTTGTCAGAACTTAAACACCCATGTGGCTCGGTGGTTGATGTCACCTCGTGAACCAGGAGGTCACGGTTTGATTCCCGGTCAGGCCAAAGGCCCAGGTTGTGGGCTCGATCCCCTGTGGGCACTTCCTGTTGCCTCCACAGGCAAATGACCACCTCAAACCACCGCCCATCGTGTAGGAAATGAAGAGGAACTAAGCCCCACAGGTGGATCCAGAGCCTAGAATCCCCCCGTCCCACTCCCCCTGCAGCTGTGCCAATAGAGGCAGGTGACCAGGAAGGCACTCAGCCTGAGGGCTGCACCTGTTACATGAGCTCACACTAGTTGCAATCAATCAAACGCATCAGGTCTGTGAGTGGGACTAGCACCAGCCTGGCGGCACACTCCGCTAGCCGCTAAGTAACGACTGCTCGGCTGTTATTGATGTGGGTGGCCTGGGCCCCGAGGCCGTCTCGGGGGGGCCCCCCGCCCTGTCGCCGCGCCCTCACCTGCATGTAGAAGCTGTAGGAGGTGCTGTTGTTTCGGATGCCCCTCATGGCAAAGAAGAACCCGTAGATGGCAATCGTTTCCGAATACGACGAGTACTCCTAAGTTGGGACAGAAACGACAACATGATGAGGGAAATCCGCAGCGTTCACAGGCCAGGGGACAGCCTGGCCGGCGGGCTCAGTGTTGAGTCTTGACCTATGAACCAGGAGGTCTGGGTTCAAGTCCAGTCAGGGCACATGCCCAGGTTTCGGGCTCGATCCCCAGTAGGGGGCGTGCAGGAGGCAGCCAATGGATGATGTTTCTCTCTCATCATTGATGTTTCTATCTCTCCCTTCCTCTCTGTCTAAAAGTCAATAAAAAACATATTAAGAAAGAAAAAATAGGTTCACCCTCGCAACCTTAAACACAGGCGTGGAGCGTTCTCTCTCACGGAGCAGAGGCTCTCTGTGTGGGGGCGGGGGTGAGCCCTAACCCAGTCTGCCCAGGCCTTTCCCAGTTTTAGAACAGAACGCCCAGCATCCCAGGGGAGCGCCCCCACCCCTGGGAACCGGAACAGAGGGCCACCCTCACCCTCGGGGAAATGTTGGACGTGCCCATTGAGTCGCTGGAGGGCCTGTCCCAGGCCCTGTCTTGGGAAGTTTATTTCCTGGGGGGCGGTGAGCGTGCAGAAGAGGCCCCTCCAGCTTCCTCTTCTGCCCTGGGCTTCGCACCAGAGGTCAGAGGGATCCTGCCACGATCCCCGCCCACGCCCAGCGCCAGTACCTTATAGAAGAGCAGCCCGAACCTCACCGCCTGGTGGGGGAGGTCTTTCGCGAAAGCCATGTCGCCCCCGCACTCCAACTGCAAAGAGAACAGTTTACCGGCAGCCTGATCCTCCACCTCCACCTCCACCTCCACCTCCACCTTTTGAAGATATACATGTTTATTGATGTCAGAGAGGAAGGGAGAGGGAGAGAGAGAAACATCAATGATGAGAGAGAATCACGGATCGGCTGCCTCCCGCACGCCCCCCACTGGGGATCAAGCCCACAGCCCGGGCCTGTGCTCTGAGCAGGAATGGAACCGTGACCTCCTGGTTCCTAGGTCGATGCTCAACCACTGAGCCACGCCGGCCGGGCCCTGACATCAGCTCCACATGAGCTCCCCGGTCCTCACAGCCCCACTGCGCTGGGGGGAGTTCTGTCCCGGGTCCTGCCTTCAGCCCTCGGCCGGATCACGGTGTTCACCGAAAACCTACTCGGTGCCAGGCACCGGCTCATGGCCTTCAGAGAACGCAAAGACGAGAGCGAGAGACGGCCGAGGAGTCGCCCCGGAAACAACACGTGACCCGAGTGCCCTGATCATGAGGCAGAGGATGGTCACAGCCACGGTCACGGGAAAAGGGGGCCATGTGGCCCCCTCCCCCTCCCGCTCCCTCTCCCCCACCCCCCCCTCCCCCTCCACCT